TCCAGATTCTTATGAGGTCTCTCAGGAAACAAAGGAAGAAATCCTCATTGGGAGTGGAAGGGAAAAGGACCACAAGTAAGCCTCTAATAAGTTGGGCCAATAGAAGTAGAGAAACTAAAGTCTCAGTGCTGAAAAGAGCAAAACCACCAATGGCATACCAGTAATTAGTACTGATATTTGAAAGATGATTGGAACTGGAAAACTGGATTTGGAAAAAAAAAAAAAAATGTTAATGGAAAACACTTTTGTCCACTCTGCCATATGTTTGCATGCCAAATCTGACTCAGAAACAACTGATTCAGAAACAACTAGGGAATATTGATTCAGACAGACAAGACATGTGCTAACAATTTTGCCCATGCAATAGAAAGGGCCAAATTAACTGTCTGTTAAGTTTATGAACCATGAATGAATGCCTATTTCATGAAGTAAGCCTTCAGGAGGACGTGCCAAAGACAGTGAAATACTGCAGACATGCTATGTATCTTAATAGCAACTTGTTTTTATATTTTTTTTCCCAATTTACATGCAAAGCGAGACATATTTTTATTAACCATTTGCCACCTGCAGGGACTACCTTAAACGACTCATCCATCTTCTACGCTTGGACACATATTTTGGTGAACTGAAAAAGGAATGGTGTTTGTTTGTTTCTGCATGTGTAGATAATCTACTGTGCAAAACATATGGCCATTTAGTTTCCACAATGCAAAAATCATGAACAGTACCACATCATAACACTTATATTTATAAAAAGTATTTGATACATTTTAGAGAGCCAAATTTCCACGTGATCTGATGTATAAGAGCTCATCTCTATATGTGACCCTGGACCATAAAACCAGTCATAAGGGTACAATTTTTTCAAAATTGAGATTTATACATCATCTGAAAGCTATGTATTGGAATAATACAAAGCATAAGCTTTGCATTGATGTGTGGTTTGTTAGGATTGGACAATATTTGACCGAGATACAACTATTTGAAAATGTGGAATCTGAGGGTGCAAAAAAATCACAATATTGAGAAAATCACCTTTAAAGTTGTCCAAATGAAGTTCTTAGCAATGCATATTACTAATCAAAAATTAAGTTTTGATATATTTATGGTAGGAAATTTACAAAATATCTTCATGGAACATGATCTTTACTTCATATCCAAAAGATTTTTGGCATAAAAGAAAAATCAATAATTTTGACCCATACAATGTTTTTTGGCTATTGCTACAAATATACACCAGCAACTTAAGACTGGTTTTGTGCTCCAGGGTCACATATAATAAGTAGATTATATATAATCTCTAATTTATTATATGATCCCCCCTAAAACTTTAAAATTGGAAAACTTACAGGCTTTGGAAAACAAGAAATTGATGACTCAGGAGAGAAGCGCACATGGTGGTGGCGTCTCTGGACTGCCTTGGAAATGTCAATGAGCCATGTGTCTTTCGTTTTATCAGATTTGCTAATAGCATGAAGGCAAGAGAACAACATGCACGCACTGTGAGCTAAATGAAACTGTCAGCAATCTTTCTACCATTGCTCCCTTGGACTCCTTTTCTATCTCTATTCTGAATATCCTTTTGGGAATCAATACAGTCTGTCTATCTATCTATCTCTGACTTTCTCAAATGCAGTATCTTAGTTTTCGGTGTCATTTTCCCCTCCTCTCTCTCTCTCTGTCTTAACTAAACACAGCTATCAGCAGGCAAACAGATGGATGGTTCCTGACAACGCTGCAAACACAAACAACAGCAGAGACTGCTGCTAAACACCAGATAGATGACTACATCTACTCATATTTACAGAAAAAAGATTTGTCATCAGAAGTGCAGGAGGGCAAAATAAATGAATCAAGATGGTCACACTCCCCAGAGAAAGTGAGGCAGAAAAAAAACGGAAAACACAAAGAGCACCCGTTCAGCACACTGAAAGGCTCCCATGCTGGAATTACGTCAAGAGTCTAGTGTCGTTCTCCAGGACTGGAGCCTACTGTAGGTACTGGAAAAATGATGGATTGTTTTTCCTTTGTTTTGAGTCTATTCTACACATCACTTAAAGCACAGGAGATATTTGCCTCTCTCCAAAGGTTGGGCTATAATGAAAGACATGTAGAATGCCCATTAACAATAAACCTCTGTTTATACATACAGCAATTTCTTGAAGCATCGTGATATGTTGATATGTTTCTTCCTCTTATTTGCTCATTTAATTAAACTGATATCGAACATGGATTCTGCATGCTCCTATTTCAACAGCAGATAAATAATTTAAAACTGTACACACGTCTGTGCTGGACTGGCTTAATAATATTTTCATGTAGGCGAATTTATGGAAAAACATCCGACTTCAGCAGTTATGTCACAGGTTGAAGTCAATTTCAAGAAGAGTTCCCATAAACAGTCTCACATTACTACACTCCCACAATACAGACTGCTTGTAACATGTCGCCAGTTCCTTCTGGTGTCATCTTTCCCACATGGCACTGTGATCAATCTATACTGAACAATCCCTAAATGCCAAAGTAACTCTGTTGTGAATGGAAATCTGGAGTGGACATGAAATAGGCAGAAATCTTCAAGAATGGCTGTGCTTCTGTTAAAATCCTAATGCAGCCTCTCAGCAAAGCTGGCAAATGACCATATATGCAGCTGTATTACAATGCTTGTTGATCTCTGTGCATCTATTCCGTGTGTCTGTCGGTTGCAGTGTTATTTTAGTATAATTGATATGCCATTACAGTTTTTGTTAATATTTTTGACTTTATTTTTTCATTTTCTGTTTTCATGTCAAGTCACCTTTATTTGTATAGCGCTTTATACAATACTGGTTGTGTCAAAGCAGCTTTACAGTGTTAAACAGTAACACAAAAAAAAACTTTTTTTAATGTCTATATAGTTTTTATTAACTTTCAGTTTAAGATTTTTTTAAATATATTTTATTTCACTTAAAGGCACAATATGTGAGATTTTTTATCAAAATATCCAAAAACCACTAGAACAGTGTTATATATTTTGCTGACTTGTGTACTTACATTATCCCAAATGTTTCGAAGAATGTTTAAATCCAGAGAAATATGCAATTTTAACTAGTGACACGGAGCGTGTCATTGTGTCGCTTGCTAATGACGTCATAACCCTAGACCGGTGACGACCGCACAGAGTAGCATTATTACAGAACTTTCCAATGTATCTAGTATGATAAAACAGCACTGCTTTACCCCACATACGCACGACCGGAAGGAGCAGAAGCGGTCGACTGTGGCATAATAAAAGCTCCGCTGCTTTCGAGCCGTGTGTCACGCTCGTTCAGCGGCTCGTTTCGCTTCGACGGTTTTCAGCCTCACCCTGCTTCATTCTACTACGTTAATAAATCATTAGCTCATCCATGAACATGATTTCTGCCCGAGTCCCGTCAGATTGCATCGGCTGTGAGGATGAAGACGACAACTCCCATGATTCCACACTCAGTCACGGCGTCATCAAACTACGCCTTTGTCTCTTTGTTTATTTTGAATACGCGCCCTCAAGCGGCAAAAATTACATATTGTGCCTTTAATGATATTTGTATATGGTTTTAGATTCAGTTAACAATAATAACCCAGGTTGATTGTTCGGCTCAGTTGAGGTTACAGCTCTCCTCACTGCAGAACATATGACATAGCAGCCAGGACCTGCATAATTCACACAGCTACTGCTTAAGGACCTTAATTAATTAAAAGAAGCAACAAGACCACAGTCCACACAGACGTACATCTCCAATACACACAAACATGATCAAATGCAGATAATGCATGCCAATTCCATGCCTCTAAAAATGACTTTTTTGTTTGCATTTTTCTAGATCTTTTGGGAAAGCACAGTGCATGTGGTTTCAATAGTGTTGTAAAACTTTCAGATACAAATTATTATTATTAATTATAGTTATAACATGAGATTCCCAAAGCAAAGAAAATAATCACAAATTATATCTCTGTAATATTTATTTTAATTTGCATCTCCTGCAGATCAATGAGATTAAATTAAGAATTTCACTTATGACTGGTGCTTCTCACATTTGTCTTCTGAAAAAAAAACACATATAGGCCTAACTCTTCTAGAGTTTCAAAAGACATTCACCAATGTCTTAAAGTGTGCACAGAGCTTTGAAAGTCTGCAATTACAAGTCAGATTACAATTCTCAAAAACTTCATCAAATTGATGCCATACACGTTTTTTAAACTCTTACTGTATGTCAACAATTTTAGGAAAAACATCTGAGACAAAGTTGCTACTTAAACTAAACAAATTATGAAAGATCTGAGCAATCATTTTTCTCATTCCTAAAACTTTTGCCATTAGTATAAGGCAAATGAAGCCGAGCACAGAAGCGTGACCTGAAAGCACATCATACTTCAACAGATATTAAAAAGCAGGTTTTATTCAAGGCGCTTGCATCTTGTGTAAACAGCTCATGAGTTGTTTTGGCAGCTTTGAAAATGAGAGATGTCTCCTCCAGATACAATTCGCCAAACTACCATCACACAGACAAACGCGCGTTTGTTCAGAGCGCATACGCGCTGCTCGCGCTCGTTCGTTTGATAGGTTTTCATTGTATCGCTTATATGATTCAGCAAGCCCAGGTAAACACAGTCAAACTTTAAATTGTGCTTGACCCAGCTGTATACTAACAAGGACTTGCAGACAGTGAACTTCTGTTTGCTAGGCGCGTGCAGGTGCATAGTGCACTAGGTATAATAAGTGCGTTTCGGCATCAAATGTCATTCTGGCTCACTTTACATGCAGGATGGTTTGGTAAACACTGAACCTAAACCTCTCGATACACAGCAGATGTGTTCTGTGTGACGATGAAAGCTGGTCGTTATGCATCTACCTGCTGTCCAAACACCCACCTATCAGCACATGACGCTTCATTACCTGTTTCTCAACCCGAAATGAATTCTCAGCGAATCTACGCACCTCATGATATGACTTGACAGGATAAACAGGGGGGGGTACTCACGCTGCTATTTTCACCCGTCCAGTGGACCATTGCCTGGTTGTGGGTGGCATCCCCTTTAAGGACGAAAGAGCTGCTGAGTAGAGACACTTTCTCCGGAGTCGATGCCCTCCGGACCCGGGGAAATCCCATGGCTGGTCCGCCCGGGTCCCCGCTGTAATCTCCGCGGCTGTGCGCTGAGATAAGCGTTTCATCTCTACCAATGACATGCCCACCGCGGCTGTCAAGCTCTCGGTCCCGTACGTTTCTCTGGTTTATAACGCCGGTGTGACATGAAATCGGTCCGAACAGTGACATCCACGCGCAAGCGAAAAACACTGCTGGGTACAGGTGCGCCAAAACTGCCATGATGAGCGCCTTCATTTAACACTGTCAAAGCGAGTGCGATGCAAGCGAAAGATGGGAAGCTCTAATGTAAGAGAGAGGGAGGGAGAGAAAGGGAGAGAGAGAGGGGAAGAGGGTGGGGAAGCAGAGCTACAAACAGAGCGTGCTCATGTGCTGTATAGTAGACGGCTGAGACCGAGGAGAAGAACTGCTGCATTCGCCTGCCACCTAGTGGCGAACTTAGTCAAGTGTTTGATTTGTACGTGTAATTATTTTAGAAAGCTGTTTGTACTAACACACGTCTAATAACGCAAAAAAGTAACTAATTGAAGACTAGATTACTGGAAGTACTGTAGGAAGTACTGTTACATTAAATGAAACTTTTAATTTATAGACTAGTTTTCAACTTTAATATTTTTTTGTGGGTCAACTACATATGAAAGCACATACAGTCTTGAACATTTTTCTTGGCTAGTGTAAATAATAACATGACCATATCTGGAAGCATGTAAAGCAACTACAGATAATAGTTAAATGCCCTCCGCATTATTATGGTTGCCATTATAGTTGCATAAATCATGCTTGCAATGCATGTTAAAAAATAAAATAAATATATAAATAAATACTATTACATTAAAAGAAGCCAAGTCAAAGGAAATAAGCATTTATTCTTGGATTATCATTTTCTTTTCACCACAATTGCCATCAAACAATTTTGAATTTGTAGTTTCCCAACGGTTACAATTGTGACCAGAAATAAAACACATATGTTCAATAACTTTTTTAAAGAAGGCATGCTATTGTTTCATGCAGCCAAGGAGTAGAATAATGGGATTAAATAAGTTATTTAGTTTTCTGAATTGACAATAATTCCTTTAACAACTATGCATTTAAATATTATGATATCTGCATGTGCTCAAACTTTTAATTCTTTCTCCCCAACTGAAGACCATACAACATTAACACATTTTGCAAATTTATATCATTCACTTATATATAAACAGGCCAACTCAATTCAAATCAAAATCAAATCAATAATTCAGAAGATGAAGCAGGAAATTAGATGTACTGTACATCTAAGTATTTCAAGTCACTGGTTACATCATTCTAGTGAGCTGATTTGGCTGTCCAAATATTCTAGTGATAACAACATTTTCTTTTTTTAAATCCTCACTCAAACAAACAGCACTCCATAAGAGTGTTGAGCCTGCAGTTGATTTAACAGCATTAGGTCACATGATCTTAGAGAAACCATTCTAATACTTGTTGTAATCTTTGTTGAATTTATTATCCCAATCTTCAAGCAGAAAAAAAACTTGATGAATATTCTGAATGACACCAGTCCACAATCTGACATGTGATGCAGCCTGGAACTAAATCACACCATGTTGGTTTGTCTGGCCAGAGGTGTTTGGGTTCCTTGCCACCATGGGTGTAAATTTCATCTAACAGTTCGGGGGGACAATAAACATACAATTTCTCAAGAGCAATTTTTGAAGGGGACACAAAGATGTTTTGCCTTAATTAAGGCAAAATCGCCTTAATATGGGGACTTTTTGTACTTTTTATCTCCCATCTTTCACATAGTATTTTAGGTTTCATCTGGGACAGAGGACATCTCTTACTTAGATATTCAAATGCAGCAAGCCTGATATCCAGATATTCAACTGCAGCAGCACTGATCTGTCACTTAACATCATATTGAGCAAAACCCAACACAATGATAAATCTACAATATTAGCCTAATATCAGTTCACACATAGGCTTATTGCCGTGTTAGTTGTGGGAGACTTAGTATCCAACAAGCTACCAAACAAGCTAGGTAACACTATAATCGCTAACATAGTGGACTCATGGAAAAATACATTGGCTATCATAATTTTTTTGTAATTACTAATTTATTCATGACTCGGCATCATCTGTATTAAAGAGAAAATAATCACTTCATCCGATGTTTAAAGTGAATAAAATAGCCTTGACAGCCGACTTACTGGAGCTCCACAACTGCTGAAGAACTGTGTTCTCTCTCACCGGACTCGTGTGAGATAAAGGAGGAAAGCAGGTACTGGAACAAAGCAGTGTGAGGTAAGGGAGGGGGACTCAAAATGTTTCTAAACTTAAAACGCATTTTTTTGTGTGTGTGTTTATACTGTTTTACTACTATAAATATCATTATATTATTTACAATACACAGCGTGGTTTTTAATATCAGACGGGGTAGCTTCTGACCCCCCACAATTTCCGCATATGCTTGCTTTGGCTTGCTTAGTTGGGGACATTAATATTCAGCAATATTATTGAATTGACTGAAGAGACAGAATTGGATGAGAACTGGACTGAGCTTTTTTCAGAATTCTTTTATAAATAAAAACATTAAAATAACAGTATTTATTTGAAATAGAAATCTAACATTATAAATTGTAATTTTATTGCATCCTTGCTAAATAAAAGTATTAAAATCTTTCAAAAAAATTATGCAACACAGGATTGCTCACTGTTGAGTAGAGAGGGGAAACTGCTGCTCTCTCCTCTCTCTCACTCTCTATACATATACTGTATATCAAGGTTTGTGTGTGTGTGTGTGTGTGTGTATATATATATATATATATATATATATATATATAAAAT